AAAAAAAAAAAAAAAAAAAAAAAGAATAAGCCTCTAAGCCGGGCGGCAGTGGTGCACACCTTTAATTGCAGCAGGCAGAGCCTGGCGGATCTCTGAGTTCAAGCCCAGCCTGGTCTACAGAGCGAGATCCTGGACAGGCACCAAAACTACACAAACTACACAGAGAAACCCTGTCTCAACCTCCGCCCCCCTCAAAGCCTCTATGTGTGATTTATTTGGGAGATGGGTGGCAGGCCCCCCAAAAGAGCAAAAACAACCAACAACAATTATATGATAGATTCTTGTTGTTAATATTCTTAGACAAAAAGACTTAAGGGGGAATTAAAAGTCGCAAACCCAGTGTTAATTAGGAGAGAGCCTGTTTCCCAGCCCTGCTACATCAAAGTACCTAGTGGCTTAAGACAGTTGAACAGCACTCGGGAGGCAGAGAAAGGCAGATTTCTGTGAGTTTGGCACCAGCCTGGTCTACATAGTGAGTTCCAGGACAGCCAGGGCTTTGTAGAGAGACCCTATCTCCAAAAATATAAAAAAGAAAATAAAAAGTAGAACCTGGGTTTGATTTCCAACACCCACATAGCTGCTCACAACCATCTGGAACCCCTGTTCCAAGGGTTCTGACGCCCTCTTCTGGCCACCACAGGCACCAGACATACCTGTGGTTCATAGACATACCTCCAGGCAAAATACTCATAAAATAATTTTTTTTAAAAGAATAAAAACAGTAGAGCCAGGCGATGGTGGCCCACGCCTTTAATCTCAGCACTGGGGGGCTGGAGAGATAGCTCAGAGGTTAAGAGCACTGACGGCTCTTCCAGAGGTCCTGAGTTCAATTCCCAGCAACCACATGGTGGCTCATAACCATCTGTAATGAGATCTGGTGCCCTCTTTCTGGCCTGCTGTCATACATGCTGTATACATAATAAATAAATCTTTAAAAAAAAAATCTCAGCACTCGGGAGGCAGAGGCAGGCAGCTCTCTGAATCTGACTTGGAGGCCAGCCTAGTCTAGAGAACGAGTTCCAGAACAGCCAGGACTACACAGAAAAAAACTGTCTTGAAAAACCAAACAAAACCTGATAGAACTGTCAGAATTGTCTCACAGTTCTAGAGAACAGAATTCCAGAACCAAGGTGTCAGCAGGACGGAACACCAGTGTAGGCACCATTTTGGAGGAGAGATTAGAAAGGGGAGAGAAGAAGGAGGGTTGGTGATGTCCCCCAAGAGGACAGCATTTTAAAGGTTATAACAGACGGTGGAAAGGGGAACTTGGGACTTGTTCAATGGGTTTGGCTTTGAAAACCACTTCCACCTTCATGAAGCCCCCTTCGCCTGCGGCTTCCTTTAGATACCAGCCCTCACCAAGTTCCCTTTTGACCTCCACGACTATTGTGTTCCGTTTCCTTCCGAAGCCATTCCGAGTTCAGGTAGGAGGAGGAACTCTCTGTTGCATTTACAAATGCCTAGTGTAAGCCACTTTCAGTGGAGGAAGAGAAGCCAGAGAGAACAGAAGAGTGAGTAACAAGTGAGGAGGCACAGAGAACACCGACAGTCTAGTATTCTTTTGAACTGTTACCAGGAAAGCAAGAACATGTGCTGTACTCGGGCACTGTCCATCCGGCACCTAGTGGTCATTCAGTAAGATTATAATTTATATCATCATCATATTACTACTGTTTCCAATCCTCTCCCTTAGCTACAGGGCATTGGAGAGTCAGTTGTAGAGCAAGAGACTAGTGCCCAAGGGTGGCAGAGAGCTGAGTGTAATCTGCAAGGTCTCAGTTGTATCTCAGATACAGGCCGTGGTTCTGTGTTCTGGGGAATGCTAACAGGTGGGCTCAAGAGCAGCGTCCGAGCAGGTACAGGCACTGTTCTCAAGATGAAGGAAGCAGAGAGTGCCTGAGACGTCTGTTATAGCTCCTAGTCTCAGGACATGGAGGAGGCAGAGGGAAGAGCAAGGCTGAGCTCTAGGCCCTGTTACAGGTCCTAACTGAGTTACCATAGCCGGGACTCAAGAGCCA